TTTTCGAGCAAGTAACCTAACACAGGTAGGAAAAAAGCGGTCCGAAGCACGGCTCAGCGCAAGCATGGCAAGGTCTCAATTCCCAGTTAAATGCTTGGACTTTGAAATCACAGCCCGAGTTTCCCCGCTCTCGCTCTTCCTTGCAGCGGGTGCCAATACGCCCAGAGACGATCTGACGTAACTTGGAAGGCGTGTGGAAGTAGCAAGGTCCAAGGCGTGTAAACACATGATGTCATGCTGGTTGTAGTACCGAGCGGGCCAGTGGGTCAACGAGGCTTGGGTTGGCATTGGCACCCGCGCTTCCCAGGCCGGGATCCACCCCCTGTGGGCCTGTGGCCGGAGGGGGCCGCGCGTGAATCAGTGAAAGCAGCTAAAATGCGGCTCTGAACCCAACCCGGCCTCTCACGGCAGCGGAATAAAGAGCTTGGGACATCTGGGGAGGCGCAGTGACGCCACGCGAAGGCAGGCCAAATGTTGGCAAATGACAAGAGGGTATTTATATATTTTGAGCTGTCTTGAGGGCAACCCATCAAGATAGCGGGGCACAGAGGGCTTGCAGTGATCCGCCTCCTGAACAAAAACGAGCCACCTTAATCCTTCCAATCAAGATGAAGGACCTGGTTCGGGGTACGGCCGGCGGGGCGCACGGACTGGGAAGGGAACCAGGGCGCCGCTCGATTGCGCTGCGTCATGACAGTGAGACACGTCTATTAAAAAGATCAAAAGAGGACATGTCTTTGGATACAATCAATCACTTCAAGTTTCTTTGCTCTAAAGGTTGGTCTCTTTCTTTTATGCTTCATTTTCTTGTCTCTGTACTTCCTCTCTCTCTCTCTGGTCTCTCTCTTGGTCTCTCTCTTACTTTCCCTCTCTTTCTTCCTCTCCCTCTCTTCTTCTCTTTCCCCTTCTCCCTCTCCCCCCTTTCCTCTCTCTCTCTCACTCTCTCTCCTCTCTCTCTCTTCTCTCTCTCTTCTCTCTCTCTCTCTCTCTCTCGGTCTCTCTCTCTCTCTCTCTCTCTCTCGCACTTTCATCCTTACGCACACACACACACACACACAAGCACTCGCACACTATAATCCTGCATATTCAAACATACGCACAGGATAAATAACGTTAAAAGCCGGGCACAAGCCTTTTCCTTCTTAAAGCAAAATTCCAAGAATCCTCTTTTTTACTTTCTGCGGACAAAGGCTTGCTTGCGCTGACACTTTTACCTAATTACTCTCATGGGTCTTGCAGCTTCTCTCCCCCTCCCCTCCCGCAACCCCCACCTTCTCGCACCCCCTTAGCATGGCATAACTGACATAAAATTTTAATTAATCGTTTCAGCTTGGCGAGTTTTTCACACGTCCGACTGCCTTTCGTGCGGTATAAATATGGTGTTGAAATATGATGTTTGGCAATGTGCAACACTGCAAGCAGGTTATTTCTATTGCTCGCATTACTATTATTAGTGCTACTATTACTGCTAATATACTGCAAATGTGATTACTACCATTAATCTACTACTGTTGCTGAAATTGTCACAGATTGTGCATGCACATTTTCAGAGAGGGAGAGAGGGAGGGAGGAAGGAAGAGAGGGGGGAGGGAGAGAGAGAGAAAGAGAAGAGAGAAAGGGGAGAAAGGGAGAAAGAGAGAAGAGGGAGAAGAGAGAGAGAGAGAGAGAGAGAGAGAGAGAGAGAGAGAGAGAGAGAGAGAGAGAGAGAGAGAGAGAGAGAGAGAGAGGAGAGAGAGAGAGAGAAAAAGCAGAAAAGAAAAAAACGGAGAGAAGAGAATGAAAAGAAACAAAGGAATAAAGAAAGAAGAGTGAAGCTTGCGCATTACCATATAGATGTGGTATTAGATATAATATATGCTCGAATCAAAACGATTGCATTATCATATAGACGCTAAGATAACCAACGCATTTAATGTAAAAATGAATAACAAACATCATCGCATTTCTCTTTTGTCTTCCGAATAACGCAGCTGAAAATGCAACAATGACATAAAACTGCGAAATAAAAGGCAATGAAGACCGCTACTGTATGTGAATATATATATTATATATATATATATATATATATATATATATATATATATATATATATATATATATATATATATATATATATATATATATATATCAATGAATTAGTCGTCAACGCCTTTACTTTCAAAATTTACACATCAATTACTTATTCATAAATATAGTAAAAGCTAAAAGGAACTGAAGAAAGGGAAGGTAAGGAGCATAGTAATTTAAATATCCGAGAAAATGGGTTTCATCGGTAAGTGATTAAGGATAAAAGAGTAAATAACAAACGAATACAAAAAAAAAAGGAAGTGATAACAATAAAGAAGAGCAAGATTGCGAGAGTAAAAGTAAGAATGAAACAAAACAGAATACAGGAAGAGGAGAAGGATATTGATTGATCAAAAGGAAAACGAGAAATGAATCAAATAGTTAAGGAGACGAGAGAGAAAAAAGACAGAAAAACAACACAGAGAGAAAAAAAAGAAAAAAATAATAATAACCCTAACAAGTTCTTAGGGTTATTAGATTTTTTCTCTTCTTTTCTCTATTTTTTCTGTCTTCGTATAACAAAAAATATATAATAAACAAAATAAAAGCACCGTAGATAGGCAAGCAATACAAAAACAAAAACAAAAAAACTCAAAACTCACGAGGGTATCCTGCGTAGTCGGGTCTCGTGTATGGGCTTCGTGCAGGTGGTGTCTTTCCTTCGTTTTGGGAGAAAGTCGGGCAGAGTGTGAGTGGAACTGGCGTCGATAAGTGGTACATAAAGCATTACGAAGAAACAACACCATGAGAGATTATATTATGGAGGGAAAATGAGGATGGGAGAGGAATATGGTGGAGGGGGGAGGGGAGGGTGTAGAAGGAAGGGGAGGGGGGTGTGAGGGAACTGCGTGGTTAATTAAGGATGCAAGTTGGGGGGGATCTGCTTAGTGAGATCTTTGGGTTTGGGGGACATGTAAATATATGAGTTAAGAAAGGGAAAGAAAGAAAAATAGATAGATCGAGAGATAGAGAGATAAAGAGAAAGAGATAGTAGATAGATTGATGAACAGATATACAAACAGAGATAGACAGACAGACAGATAGATAGATAGACTGATAGACAGATAAATAGATAGATATATATATATATATATATATTATATATATATATATATATATATATATATATATATATATATGTACACAGAGAAGAGAGAGAGAGAGAGAAGATAAATAGACAGAGAGAGAGGGGAGGGCAGAAGCTTAAAGGGAAGAAAAATTCGCTTTCTCCAAATCCTCCAGTGTCGGAATGTATATCATCTTTTATCTCACAATTGGTACAATGGATAAAAACAACACTTTTATTTGGCTTGGTAGAATCATCTTGGCAAATACACCTTCTTGTTTGCATTTCTTTCTTTTCTCCAATAAAATAATGCTATAGGAAGGCCACATGAACTGATAATAAAAAAAGTCTCAATATTAGCTTTATGAGAGTGACAAAAGAAAGAAAAAAAAAAACAAACAGAAAAAGAACATGACTAATGACGTTTACCAAGTTCAAAGCAAAGGGCCGCCAAATATCCCAAGTGTAATTAGCGGGTATAAGATAAAATGACGAAGATGAAGCGACTTTCTTGAGAATTCATTCGAAGAAAAGTTTGGCGCGAAATCTCTTCTTTCGTAAGGAGGAGAGTTTGAGGGAGGAGCGGAAGTTGCTGGAAGAAAAGAGGAGAGAGAAGCAGGGAGAGAGGGAGGGGAGAGAGAGAGAGAGAGAGAGAGAGAGAGAGAGAGAGAGAGAGAGAGAGAGAGAGAGAGAGAGAGAGAGAGAGAGAGAGAGAGAGAGAGAGAGAGAGAGAGAGAGAGAGTGAGAGAGAGAGAGAGAGAGAGAGAGAGAGAGAGAGAGAGAGAGAGAGAGAGAGAGAGAGAGAGAGAGAGAGAGAGAGAGAGAGAGAGAGAGAGAGAAGAGAAGAGAAGAGAAGAGAAGAAAGAGAAGAAAAGAGAAGAAAAGAGAGAGAAAGGAAGAGAAGGAGAAGAGAAGGAAAGAGGAGAGGAGAGGAGAGGAGAGAAAGAGAGGAAAGGAGAGGAGAGGAGAGGAGAGGAGAGAAGAGAAGAGAAGAGAAAGAGAGAGAAAGGAAAGAAAAAGAAAAAAAAGAGAAGAGAAGGGAAGAGGCAAAGACAAAGACAGAGAGGAAGGTTATTTTAGTTATCATGGCAATAAATAAACATAATCATCTGTAAATACAATGCACATAACATATATAGAATACCTGTAAACGACAAAACTAACTGCAAGTCTAAGACAAGTAACAGAGCACATTAAAATCTAAAAGCGATGACAAGGATTTAGTCAGTAAACACACGGAAGGCTTTAGACCTACGTGGTACTAGGCCTATACGGGTCAGCTAAGCATACATAAAGTAAGTTAACCTGCAAGCTAATAGAAAAAAAACTGTATCCTTGTTCTACAGATAATCATTACGCTAAAAAGTAGGCAGGGAGTACCATTCAGGTTTCTATCTCTCTAGCCTGGGGTTCGAATCAGCTACATGAGATGCAAGGTCTATATAAGTAATTATATAGACCTTAATGAGATGGGGAGTAAAACGATTTCGAACTAACACTCGTATTTCTTCAGATTCCCATTTACTGTTATTTTTATGCCTTTTCCTTATAAAAGATCCTGATCCTCGATTACGTTGGCGGTGTAAAAGGACCTCTCCGTCATTAGAAATGCGGAGAGACAGGTTTCGCCATTTCCGAAGTGGGTCCGCTTTAATTTCCTTCCCGTGTTACAAGGGGATTGAGCGCCGAATTGAAGAGAAAAAAGAGGGGAAAACAAAAGAATAAAAAGGAAAAATTGGCAATCAAGACGTACCTCTGCTAGGACTCCAGACCGTGGGTTGATCCTTAAATGATGGAAGGTCAGGGACATCGATCTTGGAGGGACCAGAGGAGTCCTTCTCGTCTGTCCTTCCAGGTGACCACACTC